ACAAGTCGACTGGGACTAGGATTCTAAAGAGTAAAGAAAGTATAACTGATCATTGATTACAAATCTCGAAGAATCGAACGGTTGCGATTGAGCACTTTCTCATGCGGAATTTTTTTCGTAGAAAAATTATTTTGACTTCTTTACCCTCATCCAAATTTTTTCGTAGAAAAATTATTTTGACTTCTTACCCTCATCCAAATTTTTATTATATTTTCAAATCACGGTAGAAAAAGTAACTTTTTTTATTATATTTTCAAGTCATGGGGTTATATGAGGGTGCTCGAGTTTTTAATGTACTCAATATTTTTTTATATTTAATACTCTTATTCTATTAATTTTGTCTAGGGTATTTTAAGTAATTATTCAAAAGCCAAATAGAAAATCACTCTAGAAAGAATAGCATTATTAATAGAAAATGTGATATCCCCTACATAGAAAGCATTAAATACCAATAAATTTTTATAGAATATTTATTCTACTCTCCAATAGCATTAAATGCCAATAAATTCTTATGGAATATTTATTCTACTCTCCAATTTAATGTGTTTTTAAACCACAACAAAAGCACATTCAATAAAGGGTGCGGTTTGCATAGAGCCTAGGCTCTAAACAATCAAATTAGAGCCTACCTTTAAAAGTATCGAGAAATGTGGTTTTAATACTGAAAATCTTTGCAACAGCCTTAAAATATATTTTGTGCAAATCAACAAAATCTATTAAAACTTGAAAATCTTGAAAATTGACGGTCCAAAAATGCGTTACAAAATACACTATTTTCACAACTTGAAATCCATTGTTTTTTCATGTCCATGCATCTTGATGTCAAGATGATCAATTTGAGGATATTTGGGAATCAAAACAACCTCTTCTAGTGAAATACTTTTCTCATGTCCATCCATCTTGATGTCAAGATGATCAATTTGAGGATATTTGGGAATCAAAACAACCTCTTCTAGTGAAATACTTGAGGTAGGCTCTCATTTGATTGTTTCGAGCCTCGGCTCTATATAAACTTTTCTCTTCAATAAATTGACAAAACTATTGTTTCAAAACAAAGATAGATAATCGTGTCATATCATTATTAAATCGGTGATCCAAATTGGGTCCGAATTGGTGATCCAAAAATGCCTAAAACATTGTTAAAAAATAAAAATAAAAATAGGGATTTATGAAGTGGAGATTTAGAGAGGACTGAAAGAAATATTAGATAAACTTAATATAAAAAAAGTTTTAAGGAGGAAGAATCGATTAAAATCGATTAAAACACTTGATAGAACTGAAAGTTTATCACCTGCATGCAGAAATTATCAACCACATTATACTTGCTCGAGACACCTTACTGGAAAGAGAATAAAAACACATTATTTTCCTTGGACATAAAATTTGTGCAAACTTTAAACAAGTAAATTGGTCAAAGCTTATATATAAAATCTAGAAAGATCTTTTCAAGTACTTTATTTTAAATTGGAATCAACTATAATTTATTCTCACTTCTTCTAAAAAATTGGTATAATCGATAGTTATAAAATATAAACATTCTAATTTAGCAACTATGAGGAAAAAAAAAGATAAGAAAAAGAAGCATATCACATTTTTTTTCTTGAAAATAACATGTGAAAAAACCTAAAATTACTGAGAAGTTATCTTTATATATATATATATATATATATATATATATATATATAAAAGGAAGCATTACTTGATGGTAATTTGTATGTGAAAATGAATTATATCATAGCAATTTTAAGATGGCAATCTTCCTAAAAGAATAAAAATATCTAGATACGAGTTCAAAAGTTAAGAAAGGACCACGTCCCTCACTTTTATAAACTAAAGAAATTCAAAAGAATTAGGACTCTATATTCCTCTGCATGCTACGAACTTTATTTCTCAATAATTCTACTGTGAAAAAAACTATCCAACTTAAACACAAAAAAATGATAATTCTGCAAGATTAGAAGAAAAGCACAATTCAACTGCATGAATTCTAAGTTATTCTCGACCCCTCAAAATATATAATCAAAGCCGATAATTTTTCGTTTCCGAATCTCGAGTAGTAGCCATCCTTCTTTGACCCTGAATAGTTTGTCTTTCAATGACATAAGAAGAACAAAAAATCTTTAGTCTTTCTAAGAAGAAACCCTAGACTCATTACCAGGACTACAGAGACACAAAACAGGGCAATCAAATTAAGATGCACCTCAAAAATAGGGCAATCAAATTAAGGCGCACCTCAAAAATAGGGCAATCAAATTAAGGCGCACCTCAAAAATTCACTAAAAAAGATTATTTTGGCTACAACAAACTTGAAATTCCTAACATATATAAGTGGTATCAAGATCTTTAACTTGGATTATAACCCTATAATATGATACATGTGAATAACGACACTTCCTTGACATTATTTTGTGGCATAGTGCATTTAAAAACACTACTCACAATCCTCAATTTCAAAATTTTGACTTAAAAATTTTCCTACATTTGTAAGTTTTCAACCTAGTCGCGATAACAACTGCCCCTTCAAATGAGATATGGGTCTTAAGCCAATATCGCACTGGCCTAGGCCAAATAACATTCAAAGGCAAACATTCCATAAATAAATAAATAAATAAATACAAAAAATAAGAAACATTAAAATAAAACTTTAAAAAGTGAACAAAACTAAAAATCAACACAAGGAACACAAAGAAATATAAGACACATGGATTTAGGAAAAATTGCGATCCAGTTGGAGAAATTTCAGGAAAAATCCCCCAAAAAAGGAAATCTAAGAATAAAAACTCTCACATCAATGTAAAACACGTCTAAATTGCATGTATAGTTTTTATACATCAATCCTACAAGTTTACTTATTTTTATGAATTTTTCTATTTTTTTAATATACCCAAATTGTACTTGGATACTTGGCTAGTCCAGAGATCTTGATATAGGGAGAAAAAATAATTATAATAAAAAATAAAATAAATAGTAAAAAATTATACCCTCTCTCAACGAAAGATGGTATTCTCATGGTCTGACTAAAAAACGATATTAGAGATGGTATTCTCACGGTCTACCACCCCTCAACTTTACTAAATTCTCAAACTTGTGACAAGATCAAATTACACCCAAAGAGATCTTCCACCCCTCAACTTGGTGTTCTCACGGTCTTCCACCCCGATAGATAGTATTCTCACGGTCTTCCACCCCTCAACTTTACTCAATTCTCGATCTTGCCACAACATCAACCTCCACCCCGAGAGATCTTCCACCTCTCAACAAACTTTACTCAATTCTCGATCTTGTCACAATATCAACCTCCACCCCGAGAGATCTTCCACCTCTCAACTTTACTCAATTCTCGATCTTATAATAAAGTCTAAGGATAAAAAGATCAACTTTACTCAGATTCTCAATTTTATCACAAGATCAACTTTACTCAATTCTCAATCTTATACTCGATTCTCAATCTTATCAATTATCAGTCACTACTTTTTTAGGTTATCTTCCTTTAAATAAACTTTTTAGGCCATCTTCCTTTAAATAAACTATGTACTTTCCCCTATTTTACCTCTCTTCCTTATTTTCTCTCTCTCACGTGTCATCCCTATTTTTTCTAACTACCATTGATTATTTCCTAAACCAAAAGATCTTTACCTTATCTATATGTTATTCCCTAAACAAATAAGATAAACGTTCATCTAACTTCTACATTAGCCTTTCTAGTAGTAAAAGATAACTACAACTTATTATTTCTTAAACCAAAATATCTTTACGTTATCTATATATTATTCCCTAAACTAAAAAGATAGACCTCCTAAAACAAATTATCCACCCAGACCCTCTTAATTTAACTCTTCCTATCCCTAAATAAATAAACTCCAATTACCCCTAAATAAATAAGATCCAAGATATCAGGCCCTCTTAATTTATCTCTACCTATCCTTAATGTTAAAAAAATAAAATTGGGTCCTCTTAATTTATCTCTTCCTATCCTTAATTTTTAAAAAATAAAATAAGTAAACTCTAATTTATTTGGATCTCATAGGGCTAAATATTTTTAGCTATATTTACCTATCCCCAATTAAAAATAAAAAAATAAATACTCCAATTTTATTTGGATTTCAGGGGGCTAAATATTTAAATATTTTAGCTATTTAAATATTTAAGCACGAATCACCAAACCAGGATCTTCATAGGGCTAAATATTTTAGCACGAATCACCAAACCAGGATCTTCATAGGGCTAAATATTTTAGCACGAATCACCAAACCCAAGCAGTTTCCCAAACAATTTAGACTAAATATTTTCGCAGGCACGAATCACCTGTATAAATATTTGCGAACGAACCAAATGTACCCTGAATATTTTAGCTATGTAAACGTTGCCCTAAATCTGAGAGAGGTCCGGCGTTTAATACCTCTGTTTTAATAGTCCAGTACGCCAACCACGTCGCAAAATACATTGAGGCTTGGATGTCATATTATATGACTTCTTTGCTAAATGCCAATTCCCTATACTTTTCTTATTATTGATTCTCAATAAAGTAACAAAAACGATTCCATATCTATTCGGTGGGTTTCCAAATTAGCTCTCAATTAAGATGGTTGTTTTTATTGTTAATCTCAAATTATAAGCTGAACAAACTTCAATTCGCAGAACGAATTTACCCTAACAATGGTTCTCCCAACTTTTGGAAAAGATAACTGTTTCTTGAACCAGAAAACAAATAGAAGGAAGGAAGAAAGAAAGAAAGAAAAATGGTTTCAATAAAAGAACCGGAAAAACAGTAGTAAAGGTATCAAAATTAAAAAAATAAAATAAATATTAAGCGAATAAACCATTAAAGGAACTAGGGCAAACAATAAAAGAAAAATGGTTTCAATAAAAGAACCGGAAAAACAGTAGTACAGGTGTCAAAATTAAAAAAAAAGAAAGATTAAGAGAATAAACCATCAAAGGAACTAGGGCAAACAATAATCAAAGAAGATTAGGGCTTTAACATGAAATAAGAAACTCACCTCTGCAAATCCTTCGTTGGAGGAAGTAGAGAAGCCCTGAGGGTTTTAACAGGAAATAAGAAACTCAGCTCTGCAAATCCGTTTTTGAAGGAAGCAGAGAAGCCCTTCGTTGAAAGAAAGCTTGATAGTTATATGAATACCAGTCGTATTGCTTTGATTTAAGGAAAATTGTTTCGTGCGGGACGTACCGCATTTCTACATACGCGCGCATTTCTACATATGCGGTCCAGAAAGTGTAAAGCAGATGCAACCAGGCGTTTCCATCTAAAAATAATGCAAAGTAACTATCCAAAATGTTTTTTTACTATAATTATTATTTTTAATTTTTTAAAATTATTTATTTTACTTACTCAAAAAAATTCATCTATTTTTTCATATTCATGATCTCCATGTTAGAAGTTGCATGTCCTTAAAAATTGTCTTAAAATCTAACTCAAAAATAGATTTATTAAGAGGCCCGCGTTTTTAGGTTGGCCACATAGAAACCCCGTCCTTAATTTAATGTGTTTTTAAATCACAAAAAAAAGTAAGAATAAACTGACAGAACCAATGTTTCAAAACTTAGATATGTGGGGTGGATAGTTCGCCCACAAATCCATGTTGAATCGTTGGATTGACAATTGAGTCCAAATTGGTGATAAAAAAATATAAAAAAAAAAGAAAAAAATTAAAATTAAAATAGGGATTTATGATGTGGATATTTAGAGAGGACTCAAAGATAAATTAGATAATCTTAAGAAAAATAAAAATATATATAGAAGGGGTTTTTGTCGGATCATTGGATTGACGATTGAGTCCGAATGATCCAAAAATATTAAAAAATTTAGTGAAAAATTAAAATTAAAATAAGGATTTATGATGTGGATATTTAGAAGGGACTCAAAAAAAGAAACAAAATATATATAAAAAAAAAATGGGTTTTTAAGGAGGTGATACAAATAAAAATTAGGGTTTTTTATTTTTTAATTTTAAAATTTTTGAAAATGTATTATTTGAATTTTTTGTTTTTTTTAGAGTTAATATTGTTTCGAGTTGTAGAGATTTAAATGATAGAGTAATAAATTATCTATAAAAATTGAATAGAATAGATTTTAATGAGTATATAAAAATAGAGCAGCAAAACATATCAAGCTTTCTTTAATGTGAAGTTGGATAGCGATAAATAGAGCAATAAAATATATCAAGCTTTCTTTAATGTGAAGTTTGATAGAGATAAGGGTGGGTTGAAAAAGTGGTATGTAGAGAATAGAGAGATAAAACGTTATTTTGGTGTAGGTTTTTGTTTAGGACAAGCTTTTTACGTTTCCCTTAGTGCATAAAACTTATATACTTTTCATATAAAACCTTTCATTTCGAATGGAAGGCTAATATGGCCACAATCACAATGTCATGTCTCTATACTATTTTATTTTAAATTTGTTTTCAAAACTTATTTTGACACCTAATTTTGGGACTCCACTCCTCTCTTAGAACTCACATTTACAAAAAATATTTTAAAAAATATCCCAATAAAATAAAATAACCAAAATACTCCTAAAAGTTTCAAGGGGTATTTTGGTTATATACTTTATCAAAAAAATATTTTTAATATTTCTTTTAGGTGCACCTCATTGAGAAGATGGCACATATCAAATTTCATTTTCATACAATTTGTAAAAAAACACTTTGAGGCGTTAGATCTAGATCAAATGGTTAGTGGCTCACTCAATTTAAATTGGACGGCTTGATGGAGTGGGAAGTATATATCTTCCAACATTGTAGGGAAGGTATAGAAACTTTTCAATTTTATTTATTTTATTTTATAAGTGTATTTAAATGAAAGATGTCCCTTCTTTATAAAATGAAGATTACCGGAATTGAGTAAAAAAATTGGCTATTATGAAAAGATCTTTGCAGCGAACTCCTTTGCAGACTCAAGTCTACGGCAGACCCAAAAAGAGGGTATTATCTGCCGACCCCTATCATATTTATATTTGTTATTCTGGTTATTATATTTTCCTTGCATAATGAAGAAATAAGTCGAGACCAATATTATCCTGGAACCGATTAAAACACTTGATAGAACTAAAAAGTTTCCTGTCAATGCGATGGACATCATCACCTGTATGCTGAAATTATCAAACATATTATACTTGCTAGAGACTTGTACTTTTATACACCTTACCGGAAAGAGAAGAATAACACATTATTTTCCTTGGACATAAAATTTGTGCAAATTTTAAATAAGTAAAATGGTCAAAGCTTACATATAAAGTATGGAAAAATATTTTATTTTAAATTGAAATCAAGTATAATTTATTCTCCTTTCATTTTTAAAATTGGCATAATTGATGGTTATAAAGACCTTAATTTGGCAATTATGGGGAAAAAAAGGAAGAAAAAGAGGCATATCACATTGGTTTTTTATTGAAAATAACAAGTAAGAAAGCCTATATAAAATGAGAAATGGTATCATGTCACCATGTTAATATAATATAATAAAACCACACTGTAGAAAATTATGTTTTTGATATTTGTATGATCCAAACTTTTGCACACATATTCTCTTCATCTCAATAATCAACCTCAAAAAAATAAAATATATATTTTGCACCCTATATATCTGGACAAAATGAGTCCCTTCCACCAATGAATCTAAACCATCCATTTGGTGAATTTCAAGATCTAGGCCTTTATGAATTCAAAATCAATTTTTTTTTTTTTTAACGTTGTTAATCTAATGATAATAAAGCTATCTAAAAATTTTGGAAAGAAAAAAGATCATATCCTAAAGCCTCGCTCTAAGTATCTTACCAAAATAAACAATCTATGTTAATGGGGCTAAAAAACACTTTGTAGATCGTGTTTTCAAATTATTATTTTTATTTATTTTTTATTTTTATTTTTATTTTTTTGTGATTGTTCGATAGAATGAAAATAGTGTATATTTTAAAATATAGGTTAAACAAAAGGGCCTAACATTAACTTTTGAAGATTTTTTCATTATATTACTGCACAACTGTTGCATAAAATCACTCTCCAAAATGTGTAGATATATGCAAGGGAGTATTACTTAATGATAATTTCTATGTGAAAATGAATTATAGCATACCGATTTTAAGCTGGTAATCTTCCTAAAAGAATAAAAATATTTGTGTATGAGTTGAAAATAGTGTATATTTTAAAATATGGGTTAAACAAAAGGCCCTAACATTGACTTTTGAAGATTTTTTTATTATATTACTGCACAACTGTTGCATGAAATCACTCTCCAAAATGTGTAGATATATGCAAGGTAGTATTACTTAATGATAATTTCTATGTGAAAATGAATTATAGCATACCAATTTTAAGCTGCCAATCTTCCTAAAAGAATAAAAATCTCTGTGTATGAGTTCAAAAGTTAAGAAAGGACTTGAAATATGAAACTAGAGAAATTCAAAAGAATTAGGAATCTATATTCCTCAGCGACCCTCATTTCTCAATAATTCTACTTTGAAAAATATTTTCGAACTTCAACCCAAATATGATGATTCTGCCATATTAGAAGAAAAACACTATTCAACTATTGAATTCCAAGTCATTCTCGGCCCCTCAAAATATATAATCAATGGCGATAAGTTTCCGTTTTCGTATCTTGAGTAGTAGCCGTCTTTCTTTTGATCCTGAATAATTTGTCTTTAAGAAAATAAGAAAAATAAAAATCATTCTCGGCCCCTCAAAATATATAATCAATGGCGATAAGTTTTCGTTTTCGTATCTTGAGTAGTAGCCGTCTTTCTTTTGATCCTGAATAATTTGTCTTTAAGAAAATAAGAAAAATAAAAAAATCCTATCTCTTTCTAAAAAAAAACGAGGGTTTTTGGGCTCATTCCCGAGATGACAAAGATATACAAAATAGGGGTGCAAGGAAAACGAAGGGTGAGGTTGTAAAGTGCACTTCAAAAATTTACTAAAAAGATCGTTTCGATGCCCAAAAATCCTCAAATCGATCATCTCGACCTCAAAATTTAAAGTCTTAGAAATAGTATATCATATAATTCATTTTCTGGACGGTTAATTTTCAAGTGTTAACAGGTTTAAATTTTATTATGGATGTGGTTTCTATAAGGTTGTAACTTTAAACAATCAAATTAAGAGGCACCGCCAAATTTTATCATAACATGTAATTTTATCGTAAAAAATTCTCAAGATTATCTTAAACTCTATTTTCATATCTAATTAAGAAAGTTTAAATGAAAAATAGTTAAAATCAAGTAGATCTATAAACATATGAAAATCTAGATAATGTGATGCAAGGTGCACCATTTATGTGATTCAAAAACTTTTTTCTTTGTGTCATATTCGTGCATCTCAATATCGAGATGATCAATTAGAAGGTTTTGCATCTTAATGTCAAGATAATCAATTAAAGGGTTTTTGAACGTTAAAATAGTTTTTTAAAGTGCATCGTTTTGCATCGCAATGTCGAGATAATCAATTAAAAGGTTTTTGAACGTTAAAATAGTTTTTTAAGGTGCATGGTTTTGCATCTCAATGTCGAGATGATCGGTTAGTGGGGTTTTTCAACGTTAAAATAGTTTTTGAAGGTGCATATGTAATCCTACATTTTAATGCTGTAACTTTATATAAACTTTTTCCGATTAAAAAATAAAAGATTCCCAGTACATGAACAACTTTCGACATGAACACTTTTGACAAGTTTTGGGCCATGACTTATGGATAGATTTCCTCCCCAAAGTTCCACAGATTCCCTGGTGGTTCTGTAGTCTGGAGTGAGAGTGGGCCGACTTTTGAAGTCTTTCGCTTCGGCGCCTGCTCCTTTTCCCTTAGCTGCTGCTTCAACGACTTGGAAACGCCTCTCCACCTCTCCACTCTCAGACGCCGCTCTCTCTAACCCAGGTTCCTCTCTCTCTCTCTCTGTTTGCCTATCTATCTCCCTCCTGTACTTACAAATGATACCTTGAGAATCTGAGCAACCAAAATACATATACACTAATGGGTTTTCCTGAATGTAAGTGAAAGGACTGTTTGATTCATTTGGTTGGGTACGAGAATTGTGCCCTGCATATGCATCTTAGGCAATCTTTGCCTTTGAGTTTCATATGGGTTTTAGAAGTAGTAGGTTAGGGAAG